TGTTTTTGCAATCAAGACATTTCTAAAATTTCCTACATCATAGTTACAATGCCTTATAATTGCCTAGCAAATCCTGTTTGTTTTTTGTTTGTTTGTTTGTTTTTGCTGCTGTTGTTGTTTTGGTACCAGGGATTGAACCCAGGAGATCTTAACCACTGAGCCAACCTTTTTATTTTTCATTTTGAGACAGGGTCTTGTTAAGTTGCTTAGAGCCTTGCTAGGTTGCTGAAAGCTTTGAACCTGTGATCCTCCTCCCTCAGCCTCCTGACTGCTGGGATTATAGGCATATACCACCGTGTCTAGCGTAAATCTTGTTTTATTTATCTTCCTAGACTGTTAGCTCCATGAATGCAGAAATTATATCTCTTCTTTATTGTATTTCCAGATTCTTGCACAGCTGAGACACACACATTAAGCATACTGTTTAAAAAATATTTTTAAAAGAGGGTTTGTCATAGAAGTGTGCCATTATATAAAAGACCTTCTTTTATAAACTTTTAATAACTTGCAATAACTTGTTATTGATTTGCAATAACTTGTTATTGATTTGCAATAACTTGTTATTGATTTGTTGTTCCTTAAGGGCAAGGACTGTCTTGTTAATTATTGTATTATTGATTATTGTATTCTTAGAACCTGGAACATAGTAGGTAGCTAATTTTCAGTCTCTTGTTAGATGATTTCTATTAGTATACAAAATTCTCTGGTATCGGGCTGGGGTTGTGGCTCAATGGTAGAGTGCTTGCCTAGCATGCACAAGGCACTGGGTTCGATCCTCAGCACCACATAAATGTAAAATAAAGATATTGTATCCACCTAAAGCTTAAGAATAAATATTTTTTTAAAATTCTCTGGTATCACCGCATATGTGAGGCACTGAGTTCAATTCTCAGCACCACATTAAATAAATAACTAAATAAAATAAAAGTATTGTATCCATCTACAACTAAAAAAAAATCTTCAAAAAAAAGAACATTTCCCTTTTCCTATTTCTTCTTTGCACTTCAACTCAGCAGAGACTTTTTCTACGCTTGCGTTACCATTTCCTTTCTGCTTTTATAAAAAWTTTTAATTTGTTAWATAGTACACCAAAATGTATTACAATTCATATTACACATATAGAACACAATTTTTCATATCTCTGGTTGTACACAAAGTAGAAGCACATCCTTCATGTCTTCACACATGTACCTAGGGTAATGATGACCATTGCATTCCACCATCTTTCCTACCCCTATTCCCCCTCACTTCTTCTCCCTCCCCTTTTCCCTATCTACAGTTCATTTAATATTTTTTTAAAGACTTTTTTTCTTTTTAGTTGTAGATGGTCACAATACCTTTTGCTCTAATCACTTCATTGAAACTGTTGTTAAGATTTCCATATTGACAAATGTAATGAACACTTAAATTTTCAGCAGCATTCAACATGGTTAACCCATTCATCCTTTCAGGGTCATTTTTTTTTTTAAATCATACTGCTGCGCCCTCTCATTCTTCTGTTTTGGGTCCTTCTAGTCCTATAAGTATTGTCCTCTTGAGTTGTAATCCTTGATTGTTTTCTATATACATATACTCTCTTTAGGAAATGATCCATTGCATTATTTTAAATTATATATATGAGTGATGCCTCTCAAATTTCTCTTTCCAATTCTGGCTTCCTCCATATACTCTACTTGAAATCTCCACATCAGATATTTAATAGACAATACAAATTTAATTTTTCCATACACAGTATGGAAAATTAAAAATTTCTTTTTTAAACCTGTATTTTCCTTAGTCCTTTTTTAAATATATTTTTAGTTGTAGAATGACACCATACTGTTAATTAATTAATTACTTAATTAATTTTTAATTGGTGCTGAGGATCGAACCCACTATATATGTGAGGCAAACACTTTACCACTGAACCATAACCCCAGCCCCTTCCCTAGTCTCTCTCTCTCTTTTTTAAAATCTGGAAATGGCGTAAACTGCTGAAGGCAAAAACATAGGAATCATACTTGTTTTTTTCTTTCCAATTAGAATTATATCTCTAACTCATTAGCCACTATTAGTTCTCCCTTAAGATATAGGGGACTACCAATTTGGTTTCTCTGCTTCCATTCTTAATCTGCTATAATTCCTTTCTACAGAATAGCCAGAGTAAAATCATAAATTGGATCATGTCTTTATCCTATTTTAAACTCATTGACAGCTGGGTACCATGGTGCACACCTATAATTCCAGCAACCTGGGAGGCTGAGGCAGGAGGATTGAAAATTCAAGGCTAGCCTCATCAACTTAGTAAGGCCCTAAGCAACTTAGTGAGACTCTGTCTCAAAATATAAAAAAATTAAAAGGGCTGGTGATGTGGTTCAGTCATCCAACTTTTATATTTTCAGGAGGATGATCTTGGAAGTAGGTGGAAGAGACCATATGCTGTTGGGGATTGGGAAAGACTAAATCTTCTGTTCTTGAGTGATAGTGCAGGCCTTATGTCTATTTGTAACTCAACTGTTTCACATTCATATAACAACATTAATGAGTAGACAACAATTTTTGTCTTTCTTACTTTTTTCTCCTGGCTGATGCCTTAAACTTCAAGACACCTCAGCTTCTTTGTGAAATATACTAAGTAGAAGGGAAAAAGAGATAATATACATTGATACTGAACTTGAAAATATATAAAATTTTAAGTGTAGTTGTTTTTTGTTATAACTTTGTATCATTTCAGCGAATTCTGTGATTTTAGTATTATTCTGCAATATAGGGAAAATGTGATGAATGTTAAATCAATTTGTTTCTCTCTGTACCTTCCAAGACTGAGACTACAGAAACGCAACTATTACATGATTAGAAAATATTAAAGTAACTCTTATGCAACCAGTGATGTTCTTTCCCTAACTATTAATATCAATTATTACCCATGAAGTAATTTTTTCCCAAGATGAAAGTACACAAGGTTGTTGTTATTTGCAAACTTCCTTCTAAGGAGACCTGGAAGTAACCTTCTTTGTCCCAGCCAATGGACAGCCATTAGTCCTTATTGTTTTGCCCCCTATATAAGAAAGCTTTAACCTATTTCTACTTGCACTCACTTAGAGGAATGTGCTAGTGTGAAAACAAAATTTCCCCATGATTGCTTCATTGATATGATGTATAATTTTTTGTTTTTAAAAACTTCATGGACTTTATTTATTGTTTATAAAATTTTCATTTCATATTCAAACATTTTGTGAAAAATGTAGTTATTTTACCTTATTMAAATTTTTTTCAGCTTTGACATCAGAGTCCAGAGGATTATCTGAAATGTATAAGCAATGTAATTCCTATTTTGAGCCTGTATTACCTTGAAACTTAGGCAACCTATGGAGGACCTTTGAATGAATTTTAACTTCCCTACYTCAGAAAAACCTTCCCTTCCCCTTACCCCGCAAGGATTGAACTCCTGGAGCCACATCCCCAGACTGTTTCATTTTTAAATTTTGAGACAGGGTCTCACTAAGTTGCTGAGGCTGGCTTTGAACTTGGTGATCCTCRTGCTTTAGCCTCCCAAACCACTGGGATTACAGACTTGTGCTACCAACCCCGCCTTTCAAGCTCTTATTTCACTGCATAGTTCTTATTAATTTCACAGCACTAATCACTATCTGAAATTACCTTACTTACTGTCTTCTCACCTAGAAAGTTAGGGTTTTTTKTTGTTGTTGTTGTTATTTACTTTGGATCCCTAGTGTCTAGAACTTAATGTTTGTGGAATAAAAACACAACACTCACTTCTTAATCAACTATAGTTAGTGCTTTTAAAAAAAATCTTAACATTTTACCTCAATTCATCATTGAGATATAAATTTTGCCAATTAGTTTTTTATGTTAGAGCCATTTTTTTTATAGCTTAAATTTTAGCTGCAWATCAGACGCTTAAAGAAAATTAGGTTTATATGCCTGGTTAAATGAAATTCTTGGAAAAGCATGTTTATCCAGCCTTMCAAACACATACCAGTTATTTCCAGACATTCACATTGCATCCCATCGGAATTGCATCCCATTGTACCAAATTCCTATGCCAAAGCGGGAAGTAGGTAAATGGATGGGGTGCTAACAATGTGTAAGACTCGCTCGATTTGAACCCTGATATGTTTTAACTCTCCGGGTTTAATAAGACTCCTCCTTTTTTTTTTTTTTTTTTTGGCTGGGGGGGGGGAGCGATTTTCTCCCCTGTCATTTGTTTCAATTCTATAGTTCCTCCTTTCCCCACACGGAGACATTAAGACATTAAGATATACTTTTAATTTCGTGAAGTTCTAATCTGACTGTTCCTCCCTACTCTGCCCAAATATGTTATTGTTGTTGTTGTCAGTGCTGGGGATCAAACCCAGGCCCTTCGAGCAAGCGTTGCAAGCTCCTAAAATTCTAAATAGTTAACMTAAGGGTTTAGATATTCGTACATAGATGTCTTCTACAGGCTTCTTGCCTCCGTTGGTTTTCCTTGTGATTTTGTTGGTTACTAGTGAAACGTAGCCTAACTCCTGAGACTCCAATCACTCTCTCTTTTCAGAGGTTAATTTCCAGAGTGAGAGTTCTAGACTCTGTAAAGGAAACTAGAGCGGCTGCCGGAGTCCCTGGACTTCTTTCCTGTTAGCCATGACTGGGACGGCAGTCCTGGCAGGATCCTCCACCAGTGCCCCTAAGCCCGGCTCTGCGGAATCCCGCTCAGTCTAAATCTCTCATGGCTACCGGGTTGACTATGGGCGAGCCTAGGGTCCTGGGTTCGCTCAGGTCACGGCGCCTTCTCTGCTCTACAGGCCACCGGAGAAAGGTGTGATGTCGTAGAACCAGGGTCGGGCGGTTGAATGTGGTTCCCTAAGCGCCCAARTCCTGGGTGTGTCTTTGTCCCTAAGTCACTGGCATCGATCCTGCGCGTTCCCGCCGTAGCCCTAGTTGCTGACAACTTCGTCGGGGATCTGAACCTGAAGCGCTTTCTCCCCGCATTCCAACCACCTTGGGGTCCTCTCCCACAGCGCACGCCCCGCCCCCTAAGCTGCCGCGTGATGGGATCCGCCCGCTAGCCTATCGGAACCGGCTCCGCCCCCCGCCCCCGCCTCCCCCCCGTTCCGCGCTCCGCCACGTGATGCGGCTTACTGCCAGCCAATGAAAGCCGACCTTGCTTCGCGCCCCGCCCCGCGCGCCGTGGCCGTTTGAAGTGACTAATTTCTGTCATATGACTGAGGCACCCATGGGGGTGGCGGGGAGGCTCTAGGATCGGGGGCCTAGCAAGCACCCAGCCGAGCGACCCCGGCCTTGCGGTGGCTAGCATGGCCCCTACGCTGTTCCAGAAGCTTTTCAGTAAGAGGAACGGGCTGGGCGCGCCCGGCCGAGACGCCCGGGACTCGGATTGCGCGTTCAGGTAGGGCTGCGGGGTGGGGGGCGCGGAGCGTTGGCTTGTGGGTTCTATGGGTGTTGGGGCCTTTGGTGTTCAGGCCGATGCGGCAGCGTCGCGCTGAGTTGGGTCCTGGTCCGTGGTGGGGTGGGGTCAGTTGCTGACTTGTACGCGGGTGTTGGAGGTCCTACCCCCTTACCGCACCCCTAGTCGTTGCCCCTTCCCCCTTTCTCGGGTGGTTTGTTTACTTCTTGCCCGCAGCCACGCGCGGCTCTCCAGCTTCGGGCTGAGCTCCGCGGCCTGAGCTATTGGGTCCACACGCCTTCCTGGATGCGAGGAGAGTTGGGCGCGGGCTRGATTGGACCTCAGCCGTGGTCCTCCGGGCCGAGGAGTTTTCTCCCCTCCTCCCCGTGACCAGTCGCCCTCTGGCAGCTGTCTTCCAGCTCGGTTGGCTTTGTGGAGTGAGCAGCACGTTTGGCCAACCTTCGKAGTATAGAAAGGACGGGAGGCGCGAGTGGGCAAGGTGCCGTTCTTTCAGGTTTCTTGGAAACTAAAATTGGAGCGGACTGAGCGACCTTAATGTTATCGAAGGAGAAATGTGAAACCTAAGAGGTTAGAGTTACTACTGACAAGACTGAAGTAGGACTAAATCAAGTGAAGTCTGGCGTTAGAATTGGTGGAATTTTACAAACCCTTGCAACTCTTAACCGAAAAGGAGTCTTTAAAAATTGAAAACGATAGCGAAATATTTTGTGATATATAGACTTTGTTAAATTTTGGTTGCTGTACCTGTTGCTGGCAGAATAACTTTTTAGGATGGTCGGATTTGATATAAACATGGATTCAAGGTAAAATTTAGCCGTGAAACTACATTTGAAGAAGATAATTGTATGTCTTCCAAAATGCCTTCATGCTTATTGCAGTGTGGAAACTTGCAAACAGAACTAGGCCAAATGTCAGCTATCACTTAATTGGAAGGATAGCAAAAAGCCCAGTTGTCCAATAGTAATAGGAAAAAAGAGAATCTGTCAAATTTTACAACAGGCAAAAGTTGCAATGATTGTGTACCACAATGGTTTTAAAGGTTTAATACTCCTATTCACCCTCTTAATGCAGCTCACATCAGGAACYATTCAATAAATATGTGTAATTGTAATATTAAATGGAAAGAAATTTAACTGACTTTTAGAGGAAGAAAAATTCCTATTGCAAACATTTTGGAAAGTGTTTACTTAGTAAAAGACAGTTTTCTTAGGTTTTGATCTTTTCCACTGGAAAGTGAATGTCTTGCCATACTCACCTGCCTTTCGTTAAACATTTCTTTAGAGTTTTTCTTTTGAAAAATGAAAGTGCAATCTAGATAATAAAGTGCAGTCTACTACACTGAGATATCCAGTAACTCATGAGACGATAGGAAGCAGGTTCTAGGGGATACTTAAAAGTTCACATTTAAATAGGCAATTGTTTCCTGTTTCAGAGCAAAGACTGACTTTGGATACTCAGGTTTACAAGGGTCTCAAATCACTGATGTGAAAACATTTTGTGTCTGTTTTTTTAAATGTAAAGTCTGCTGTATAGTTGTGTAATACTTTACAGTTGCCAAAAAACTTTCTCATCTGATGTTTCACAACAACCATGTGAGATAGGGCAAGTAGCAGTATAGATAATATATAAGCCTTTTTCATGGAAGCCCAATTACTGCAGTACCTCATAGAAGCTATTGTTATAAAAATAAGATGTGCACATGTGGAAAAAATGAGAACACTGGTTAACATCACATAGAAAGTGACTTCTTATCAACCAGATCTTTTTTATTTATTTCAATGAGCTATAATTCATATACAATAGAATATAAATACATTTTATGAGTACAATTTTGTGAGGTTTTATTGTACCTACTACCCCAGTGAGTTTTAGCTCACTTCTATCACTCAGATTGTTCCCTCATCCTTCTTTTTTAAAAATTTATTATTATTATTATTGCTCAAAACATTACAATGATCTTGACATATCATACATTTGATTCAAATGGGGTACGTAATCTTATTTTTCCCACCTGTACAGATTGCAGGATCACATTGGTTATACAGCCACCTTTATACATAGGGCCATACTAGGTTCCTCATCCTTCTTTTCAGTCAGCTTTTAATCCTTATTCACCCAGCTTAATAACTTACCTGCTTTCTGTTATTAGTTTTGTCTTTTCTAGAATTATATATGAGTATAATCTTCTGTTATGTGTCTGATTTATTTCCCCTCCAAAATGATGATTTTGAGGTTTCTCCACATTGTTGCATTTATTAGTGGGCCCACCCACCCCTTTTATTGTTGAATGGTATTCCACTGTATTTGTGTTAATATATCCAAAATTSTTTGTGCATTCATTTGTTGGAGCATATTTGTTTTCATATTTGGTCTATTATTATCAATTCTGTGAATATTTGTGTACAAATATTTCTTTGGAAATATATATTCTTATTTCTTTTGGGCAGATAGCTAGGAATAAGATTTCAGGATCATATACTAGGTATTGTGTCTGACTTTTAAAAAAAATTATCAAACTCTTCCACAATAGTTGTTCTATTTTATATTCCCGGTGTATAAAACTTACAGTTGCTCCACAGTCTCTCCAGTATTTTATTAGTCTTTTAAAAAGATTAAATAAAATTTTTATTGTGGTAAGAAACATGTAATATAACATTTACTATTTTAACCATTTTTGAGTCTTGATTATAGCCATTAGAGGGGCTATAGTGGTATTTTCCTGAGGCTTTAATTTACATTTGCCTATGGTTATGTTCAGCATCTTTGAAAGTAATCCAGGTTTTTTTGTTTGTTTGCTTTTGGTTTGGGGGGGGGGTTGTTTTAATTTTTTTTCTGTAGTTGTAGATGGACAATATACCTTTGTTTATTTTTATGTGGTGCCAAGGATGGAACCCAGCGCCTCACACGTGCTAGGCAAGTGCTTTGCCACTGAACTCCAGCTCCAGCCCCTTTTGTTTTATTTTGTTTTTTTGTATCAGGGATTGAACCCAGGGATACTTAACCACTGCCACCGCCCCCCCCTCCTTTTTTTTTTTTTTTTTTTTTGAGACAAGGTCTCACCAAGTTGCTTAATGCTTTGCTAAATTGCTGGGGCTGGCTTTGAACTTGCAATCCTCCTGCCTCATTCTCCCAAGCCTCTAGAATTACAGGCTAACCCAGGTTTTTGAATAGACTAAAATTTACTTTTTATTCCAGGTTACCATGGTTTTCTTTCATTTTTGTTTGTTTTGTTCTAGTCAGGTTAAGTTGTTAAATCAGGTATGGGCACAGTTAAGACATTGACAACAAACTTAATTCAGTCTCTTAAGAGGCACTTCCTGGGGGCTGGGGCTATAGCTCAGTGGCAGAGCACTTGCCTAACATGTTTGAGGCACTGGGTTTAATTCTTAGCCTCACATAAAAATAAACAAAACAAAGTCATGCTATTCATCTACAACTACAAAAATTTGTTTTTAAAAGAAGGCATTTCCTGCAGTAATCAGGAGACCCATTGGTGATAAGCCCTAGTTCTAGGAGGGAGATAGTTTTGATAAAGAAGTCACACAGGGACCTTTCAATRTATCCTTTCATGGTTATTCCATTAGAAAAGATGTCCAAGGACCACACCTTTCTTTCTTTTTTTTTTTTTTTTTTTTGGTGGCGCTGGAGATTGAACCCAGGGCCTTGTGCATGCAAAGCAAGCACTCTGCCAACTGAGCTATATCCCCAGTCCCCACACCTTTCTTCACTCTTAGAACTCTTATCTCACGGATATCTATGGACTTGTCTTACCTAAGCTTCTGGAGAGAGAAATGAATTTGAAAGATATCATAGGAAGGATGTTTTTTCAAGTACTTATATTATTGAAATAGTAATTTATTTGTCATTTAAATAATTTGGCAAAGAAGGTGCTTTCTAGGAGAAGCTATGCTTTTTCTGTTAGGTTGCTTTCCAATGGAAATGATTGTGTAAATGTAATAAGTGCAGTATGTATGAAAAGGATTGTTTAAAATTTTTTTGAAATTTTTTTTTGAAATTCATGTTTTGTTAAAAAACGATTTCTGTATTTTTGTTATATTCTTTAGAAATATCTGTTCTTAGTGTCTGTAAGAGAGAATTTTTATGTGTGTGTTTTTTGTCTCTGTGAGTGTGCATGTGTGGGTCTGAATTTGAACCCCAGGGGTGTGCTCTTCTACTTAGCCACATCCCCAGCCCCTTTTAAAGTTTTATTTTGAGACAGTCACTCCTTGCTAAATTGCTAAAGCTGGCCATCCTTTTACCTCAGGGTCCCATGCACCTGGGATTACGGGCATGCATCAATGCCTGGCTGTAGGCGGGATTCTTAATCTGTTGTAACAACCTTTAAATTGATCTTTACCAAACACCCCAAACACTTCATACTTGGAAAAAAAAAAAAAAGTCAAATTCTTAACAGAGTCTAAACTCCTCAGCTTGACATATCATCCTTCTGTAAAGTTGTAGATGATATGTTGGACATGTGTTCAGATTCTTGTCTTAGCAGTGTTTATATATAACTTTGGGAAGCATTATGTAGTGGAGAGTGCAGTACAGAGTGGGGGGTGTTTGTGCCTCTTGGTTCTGAAATTAGACTGTCTGATTTTCAAAACTGAGTTCTGGCATTCAAATGAGTCCTCAGGCTTTATTCTCTTATTTTGAAATTCTAGATATAGTACATCTAGATCTCCTTTGTCATATCATTTCATTCAGGAGACTACTCCAGGATTTCCAAC